CAAATAGTCTCACTCACATATATCATACGTGGACAAACACTATATCAAACAGTCTCACTCACATATATCATACGTGGACAAACACTATATCAAACAGTCTCACTCACATATATCATACGTGGACAAACACTATATCAAATAGTCTCACTCACATATATCATACGTGGACAAACACTATATCAAACACGTGGCTGTGTACTTTCCACGCAAGTTAGCCATTTTGCTTGAAATATTAGTACCCCACACATAAATGACCAGAACTGGTTAGTTGAAGCTATAATTAACATGAATAAAATTAACTTGTAAGGTACGTTTCTAATTATAGGCACCTATAATCTGCTATCTTACATATTATTTCATTCATTGATAAAATAATAAATACAATTCATAAAAACATAGTCTACAATTGGAAACGTATTCAATCAAATACACTCAACCACAACATCAAATATCCAGTGAAAAAAACCAACTAATTTTACACATAAGTAAGTGCAACAAAGTATTTAACCATAACATGGCATTAGATTTAAAATATAAAAAAAACTAATGTCGAATATACGAAATCCAATCTTCAAATTTTTGGTATTTTTTCACTATAAAGAAAAACACGTTCTTACCAGAAACAGAATATATATGAAGAATTCTAAAATTACGTCAATTATAATGTCCCAGATTTCATGAATGCAGGAAAATTATCTTGAATGGTTTAAAGCACCATAAAAGCAAATTTCTTAACGTTAGATTAACTAATATATATATATATGATTCAGGAAATAAAATACTAAAGACGCAATTCCTGCGGATTAAGTAACAATAACGATGGCTTAATCAGCGAGAGAATTTAGATTAAAACAACATACTAATAATTAGACAACAAATACTAAAGATTTTAGGAAAGGCAGCTTATAAATATAAGTTAAAAAATAGATCAAATTGTCTTCAAAATAGTAAAAAATTGACAAGTAATACAATGATGAAATCCCTAGGCCACTATGAACTTTAAAACTACACAAATAAACAAATTCATACTCAGACTAAAAATGTCACTATTAAAAAGTTATCGAAATAAACAAGATTTGTAAATAATTGCTGTAAAATTATTAAGGGAAGAAATAATATTATTCTCAACATGATTATATAGATTATAATATTATTCTCAACATGATTATATAGATTATATTATTATTCTCAACATGATTATATAGATTATAATATTATTCTCAACATGATTATATAGATTATAATATTATTCTCAACATGATTATATAGATTATATTATTATTCTCAACATGATTATATAGATTACAATATTATTCTCAACATGATTATATAGATTGCAAGCAGAACAACAACGACTTAACTTTCGATGGTTTAAATAGCTAAATAATTTAGGAAGAAAGATATATTTCATCAGCGGTTTTTGATTTGTTTATAAATTCCAAAAGATGGTGCTTTGAATTAGTAAAGGCACACGTATCATGATATATGCATATTACAGCCAAGTTTTTGTTTTGTTTTGTTTTTTTGCCAGACCGACTAAACAGATACACGGAAATCAAATTAAAGTCAACTTCATTTAACGGAAAATCAGAATTTTTATACTCAGACAATTCACTAAAGATATTTACAGTAATTTATAATAGATCTTTGCACATTATCCAGATTACATACTTAAACATGGATAAAAACATCATTGACCAAGCATTCCAAATAAGTTTTAATTTGGAAGTAGCAACAGTACCATTCCCCAATACCATCATTACATAACTAAAGTGTATTTATAATAACTCATTACGAACACTAAAATTTACAGAAAACTAGTAAGTAGTTTTAATTTGGAAGTAGCAACAGTACCATTCCCCAGTAGCAACATTACGTAACTAAAGTGTATTTATAATAACTCATTACGTACACTAAAATTTACAGAAAACTAGTAAGTAGTTTTAATTTGGAAGTAGCAACAGTACCATTCCCCAATAGCAACATCACATAACTAAAGTGCACTTATAATAACTCATTACGTACACTAAAATTTACAGAAAACTAGTAAGTAGTTTTAATTTGGAAGTAGCAACAGTACCATTCCCCAATAGCAACATTACATAATTAAAGTGTACTTATAATAACTCATTACGTACACTAAAATTTACAGAACACAGATCTCATAATCTGAACCCAAACTCCTCAAATGAAGGTTTCTTATAATACCACTTCTGTGATATTTACATTACCTAGATATATCACGTGATATTATCGACTTCATACGGTCATGAATTCAAACCAATTTACACTAAAATTACTAATCAATAATTGAAAGTAATATCAAACTAAGTAAGCTGAAGATTTATAAACGTTATTTTGTATAAAACTGTGTAAGAAACTACGCGTAGTGGTTGTTGAAAAAGATAAAAATAAGTTTTATTTTGTATTTGACACTTTAGATTGTTTAATTTTGCTTTAGCTCTACGTTGCTTAACGTAAGTCTAACGTAAGTCTAGTAGGTAGGTCGAATCTGTTATTGTAGGGTTTATGGATAAAAACACCGTTAACAGTAAAGGTAACTAACTAATAACAATGTAAGTTCTTCATTAAACGTTTAACAAACTTAGAAAATTTCAACAAAGAATATAATTATCTTTTAAATGTGTTTATTTAGGCTTACTGAAGCTAAAATGAGTATATTGCAGAAACTGTCATAACCAAGTTTTATCCTGTACCTAACTGAACTTTGTAAATTAAAAAACAACAGCATTATTTGTGCTTTAATGCTACACCTACAGTTATTTTTAAACCTTATCTATATTAAATTTATATAGCTATATGTATATGTGTGTGTATTAGTCTTAACTACATTTAAACTTATTGTTCGTACATGATTTAAAAGATGTACATACAGATATTTAGACAATTATAATTGGAAGTCATGAAAAACGAATACAATTTTTAAAGACGCAAAAAGAAAAATGTGGAATAACTTAAGAGTAAAACATTATTATTGATGCATAGACAAATACATGTACGCATAGACAGACAGACAGATAAAATCACTTATGATAGGAGATTAAAAACTAATAAAAAATTTATAAGAAACATAAAGAAAAAAAAAGAAAAGTGGAACATCTTACAGACGTGTTGTTTCTCCGGCGCAGTCGTCCCCCTCAATTCTGTAAATCTTACCGTACATAATGTACTCGAAGCTATCAGCGCGGGAAGGTCCTGTATCTGCAGGATTCCACTCACCGTCATCAAGGTAACCATCTTCCCGTAAAGTTGAAGCAACAACTAATCGAAACTTGTCTCCTACAGGAAATGAAAAATAATAAACGTTTAAAAAACCATTCCAAAATCGCATGATAGCCATTTCTTCTTGACTTATCTTAGGTACACGAATTTTTTGAATTTAGTTTAATTTTTTCTTACTATTTCACCAGCTAGACCCATTACATATTGATAACCGACAAGAAAAAAAAATTTTGGACTAATACATAAATACGACTATCCCTTGCTTACTGAATAAGAGAGAGATATTTCGATGCTTTAATCTAAAGGCCTACATGACCAACGTTAAGTACGGAAAATACTGTAGAATATCGCACTTTTAAAAAATGTAATTTTTCTATTTCATTGAGTAAAGTTTGATTTTTATTTGTTCGGATATTCGTGTAAAGCTATCCAAGAGCTAACTCTACCAGCCGTCCCTCACTTTGAAATGATAAACAAAAGGGAAGGCAGCTAGTAAACAGTACCCACCGCCAACTCTTGGACTACTCTGAGTAAAAAGTGGGATTTCAGAGTCAGCCACGATCCCAAAGTACAGATCGTAATTTCGTGGCGAGTCATGGAATTCTAGGTTTCAGATCACGCTTGGCCCAACAAAATTAGAATATATGATATATTCAAAAACAAATTAACTTAATTACAAGGCTTCGGCTATAGTTATACAACTGTAACAAAAGGCTTATACAATGAGCTGAGTAGTTTAACAACAACAACATAACTCCTTTAACTATTATGAAGACTCCAACAATGAGCTGAGTACTCTAACAATGAACTGAGTACTCTAACAACAACAACGTAACTCCTTTAACTATTATGAAGACTCCAACAATGAGCTGAGTACTCTAACAATGAACTGAGTACTCTAACAACAACAACGTAACTCCTTTAACTATTATGAAGACTCCAACAATGAGCTGAGTACTCTAACAACAACAACGTAACTCCTTTAACTATTATGAAGACTCCAACAATGAGCTGAGTACTCTAACAACAACAACGTAACTCCTTTAACTATTATGAAGACTCCAACAATGAGCTGAGTACCCTAACAACAACATAACTCCTTTAACTATTATGAAGACTCCAACAATGAGCTGAGTACTCTAACATTAAAAAACAACAACAACATAATTCCTTTAACAATTGTGATTGGTTTGTTTGGTTAGTTTTGAATTTCGCGCAAAGCTACACGAGGGCTATCTGCGCTAGCCGTCCCTAATTTAGCAGTGTAAGACTAGAGGGAAGGCAGCTAGTCATCACCCCCCACTGCCAACTCTTGGGCTACTCTTTTACCAACGAATAGTGGGATTGACCGTCACATAAATAACGCCCCCACAGATGAAAGGTCGAGCATGTTTGGTGTGACGGGGATTCGAAACCGCGACCCTCAGATTGCGAGTCGAGCGCCCTAACCACCTGGCCATGCCGGGTCTAACAATTATGAAGACTCACACACAGTGAGCTGAGTAGTCTAACATTAAAAAGCCCAACAATATAATTCCATTATCTACTGTGTAGGCTCAAACGAGGCGGCAATTACAAAAACTAAAGATGTCGTTTCTTGACGTTTCGCGAGAACTTGAGGCTTCACGGACAAAGAATGCCAGCTCTTTCGAATTTTGAAGTAGTTACTACGCTTTATCAATCATATTTAAACCTTATTTTTCTGCTTATGTTCAAAAATGGCCTGAAGCGAGCACGTAACAGGTACTAGCCTGAAGCTAGCACGTAACAGGTACTAGCCTGAAACTAGCACGTAACAGGTACTATTTTGTTGACGAATCTACGCCTTCGCCCCTTTGTTGGATCACGTGCAACTTTTAAAACACGTGCTAACCAAAGGAACATCTCTCTTTCGAAGTTTTTTTCGAACGTTTTTTTTTTCTATATAATGAGAAGTGAAGATATTTCTTGATTCACAAACTTCAATTATGTTCTTTACTGAAGCTTTTCTGTGTTGTGTCGATCATCTTTCCGTAACTTTCGTCTAAATTTACATCTTCTCGACGACGGATCTTGATTTTGAGCTCATCTACGAATCAACAAGATGACGTATAATTTTATGAATCTGGTTGGTTAGTTGTAGTTTGTGGGCAACAGGACGTAAAACCACATGCCCAATAAAGTTGGCTGAAATTTCTAAATGTTCGAGCTGTATCTTCTCATAGGTATAGAGCATCCTGCTATTTCTTCTCATAGGTATGGAGCATCCTGCTATTTCTTCTCATAGGTATGGAGCATCCTGCTGTTTCTTC